GGAAATTCATAATCCTCAGCGACTTAGCCGCTCTAACGCTCCTGCACAGAAAACTGAGCAGAACACTTGTGTTCTGGACCCTTCCCCACGTACCCTGCGAGGTTGGAGGATGCATCCTCAGCAAGACAGAGTTGCCACTATCTCTTCACTACCTCCCTTGCTCGTTGCCCTCCCAAGGGGTTCCCACAACGCGTTATAAATTTTACCTTTTCAGTGTGCAGGAAAGTCGAGAGGAGGCTGCGTCCCAGCTCTCGGCCTGCCCGTCCCCGAGGACACCAATTAAAGGCACTAATTGGACAGCAATACATCAAAGTCGCTCCCAGGAGTAGGTCCTCCGGAGCACCAGTAACCCGTTAGTTGGGCTTTTGTTTCAAATAGAGAAATACAGAAGAAGAAGAAAATGAAAAATAAGAAAATAAACCATCCCGAGGCCAGGGCTGGAAGGCAGCACGGATTCCTCCTGTGTTCTCAGGATCCACTTGCTCTCTCTTATCCTCCAAGCTCTGCGAACAGAATGGACCAATCTTCCCTGCTCCTGTTCTGAGGCCACCCCAATAACTTCCCCCTAAGAGCGCCGCCTAGAAGTCTCTCTCTCTTTCTCCCCGGGACAGGCTCTTTTAGCTGGCTGAGATGAGACTCGTGTTTAGAACCTCCACGTGCTAGTACCCAACCTAGAGAAACCCAGCTCTCTGCCGGCCTCATGCCGTGCGGGTCTTTTCTAAACAAGCAGCACGGGGTAATGGGGGCGGGATAGACGTTCTGGGAAGGCACCTGTCCCCTCAAAGTCGTAACAATCACCCTGACTCCATGTGTCCTGGTAGAGGACCTCCTGACAAAGAAGGAAGACGATATGAGCCTGGCCTCGTGGGAAGAGATTATTTGAAGATTTACAATCAGGATGAGACACTTCAGAGGGGGGAGACCTAGGCGTTGCTCTCGGGTGGGAAGAAGGGAGCAAATCGAGGGGCCCACGGAACCAAGAGCCCTTCAGTTTAGAAGGATGCTAAATTAAGAGGCGATTGAGCCTGCAGAGATCAAAAACTACCAGCAATCTCCACTCTGTGCACAGGGCGCCTTCTGCTTCTCCACCACCAAGACCACCTGGTAGAAGTGACCGGAGGAAGGCTGGAGTCGGCATCAGGGGAACTGAGACATAAACACAAACTGGGTCCCCTGCGGGGGACTGTTCCTCAAGATGCGGGTTCCGGAAAACTACCAAACTGCCTTCCGCACTAACGCAAGAGCCCAAAGCTAGCAAGGGCCAGACTGAGGCGATTGCGCAGCTACAGCGCACGCGCCCTCAATTCTCGGCCTCACCTGGGCCCGGGAGAGGTCAGAATCTGCCTCTCTTACTGAGCGGCTGTGGCCGCTCCCTTCTCTCCAGCTGCCAGATTGGAATGGCTGCGTTTGATTCCATTTGTTACCAACCCTGGCATTTGTTTTCCATTTTATAAACGTTTCCCTTTAAGTAATTGTCCCTGTTAACGGCGTATACCTTTCAGCAGCCCTCACTGCGCTATAAATAATCTCGATGAAGATGTAAGGATATGACTTTCACAAGATTGGACAATTGATTCAATCTGTGACCCGCGATCGCGAATAATATTGGAAGGCTATTTAAACAGATGAAGGCCTAAATTGTCTTGCTTGTATCTGAATTAATTTCTCATTCATCATCATTATGAAGTGATTGGTCTATTCAAGCTCTTCAGCCTGCTGGAACGGAGCAGGATTTAAATGAGATTGTAACACAATTTAAATGCTTGCCGACTTTAACGAGGCCAATTGAGCAGCTGCAATAAATACAAATATTTTTCTAAACAGCCTTGTTTTAAATAATTACTTAATGCTTTCATGTTATTTTTAAGTGGCAATCTTTCTCCCTCCTACTCGGAATATCACATACTTCTGTGCTGAGAAAGCAATTTTGGAAACGACTTTGTGTTTCTGTTTGTTTTGTAGATAACATGACGGGTTTTATAGTTAGGGTTTGGGGTTGTGTTTTGTTTTTGTTTTTCCCCCCTCGGGTCAACATTGCCAGGGTCCCATACATTGAGTAAAGAGTGAGTTTGGCCTCGGTGTTCTCTCTATTGCACTCGGATGCTCCTGTCCCTGCAGAGCCTGGGAGGAGGGGAGCGAGGGAAGAAATCTGCCGATGCATCTATTCTCTCCTGCAGACTGGCTTTAGCTGGGGACTGCAAATGAACCTGTGCAACTGCACTTACAAATGACACCCTGAAGAGTGGCGTTGTTTCTGACTTGTCCTGATGACCGTCATCATCTTGAACAAATCAGAATCTCAGCATAGCCCCGAAGGTGTTCCTTAAGAAGTTCAATCTTGAAGCAGTTTGGCTCTAGTGCAAGTCCTCTGGCATGAGTGGAGACAAGCTGAGGATTTCTTTGTTGGGAGCTGGGCACACAGAAAGAAAATGCTGCTGCAACTAATAGCTGAGAGTGGAGCTGATTAAGACACAGACAGACAGTCAGACAGATAGACAGACAGACAGACAGACAGACAGACAGACACACACACACACACACACACACACACACCTTGCTACACTCTTTTTCTTTTCCGTCCCTCACTGTGCAGGAGGAAGATGCTTAGTCCAGGAAGCTCGTCCCACGTGGAGCACGCCATCCGTCTGGACATCTTCCACAACTGTCCACTGTGACACCCGTGCTCTCGGGAGGACATATGGCAGCGGGTGTTTCCTCGTTTGGAGAATAATAGAAGCAACCGAGCAGGAGAAGCCTGGAGGACAAAGGGGTCTTTTAAACTTCCATAAAAGCATTTAGGATGGAGGAGGCATACTGTGGGGTCCCAAGGCTTCCACTCAAGGCTGCATCCTTTGGGTGACAGAGTGCATGATAAACCTCTTTTTCTTGCTGCCTGGAGTGTGCAGGGCTCCATGTGATTCCTTACAGGTCTGGAGTCTAGGAAGGTGGATCTGTTATGGTGACTAGAAAAGCCATCAGTAGGACAGACCACGTGATCACACTGTAAAGCCCCTGCACACACACCCCCCATCACCAAAAAATAGTGGTAACAATGGGAAAGCTAAGTGATTCGCTATGTAACTGAGTAATTTAATGCCAGAGTTAGGGAACTGCTGGCCGGAATCATTTCGTCTTCGAGGCTCTGCCGAGCTCATCCGCTTTATCCTGTTGTTTAAAATGAGCATTATCCCAAACATATGCAATGCAATCAGTTTGGTCACACTTACAAGAACACGCTTTAATAAGGCAATCAATCACACACTAACAAGCCAGCGACGGGCCCGGGGCTTGCGTACACTTGGGTTGCAGGGTGGTAGTTAGTCTTGCGGGTCTAGGCAAACCCAAGCTGAGCATTGGACCTTGTTTTCAGATCTGCAGGTCCTGCCAGGACTCAGAAGCTGCAGGGGGAAAATGAGTTGGAAGTGAAATGTTAAACTTTATTGAGAATGATCTTGGACTCAGAGTTCCAAAGCCTGGAGGTGGGTGGAGGTGGGTTGTGGGTGGAGCTGGGATGCGGGTGAGGGTGGGGTGGGGGTGGGGTGGGGAACAATCCAGAACCTGAAGCTCACAGGTGCACCCTAGCCCCTGTTTGATGCACACAACTCAGAGCCTCAGGCAACTCAGGCAAAATGGAACCATACTAGGGTTCAGCTAAGACAAGATACTCAGAACTTCACGTTAGGCTCCTTGCCTGGTCTGTCCTGCCCCTTATGCAGAGAGAAACTGAAGCCAGAGATGGACAGTGTCTTCATAGTCAACTCCATTCTCCCAAACGAAGTGGGGCATGTCAAGCCAGATGGCATGGCCTGGTGCAGGCGGCTAAGCTCTTTGGGGAGTGGGGGGCCATAGAGTGAGAAGTGGTGCCTACCGTCAAACCGCAAACCCTGGCAAAAGGGAAATTTCATTATGAAGTAATGAGTAATTCCTCCTGGCAAGATGTATTGTTATATCTTCCACTTCAATTTGGAGGAAGAGAGGCTCAATTACCCAGAAAATACAGTCAATTAAAGGCTGCTGATTGGACACGAGGCCGGATCATCGATCTTGTACTTTCCAATATCGCTGCAGACACCTCATTTTCCCTCCCTATTAACTGAAAATACGCCTGGCATTAAGGCAACCCGCAGCCCATTTACCTGTCGCAAGCAATCTCTGCCCAATGCCGAGCAACTGCAAAATTTGCTGGGATTTGGCACTGGGGAGCCTCTGGCTTTGGAAGGAACTTTGAGGGCCTGGGGGTGGGGTACAGTTGTTGGGTGGAAGGCTCCATATAGGGGCCACCACATACAAGAGGGCAGAGGGCATTCGCGGTGCCCCCACCTGCCCAGCCGAGACACCAGCAGAGCCCTCGCTGCTGTGCAATCTAGTTTCTTAGCCTTGACTGAAGGCTCTTGAGCAGGGATTCTAGAATGAGTGGGTGTGTGGGATTACTTTTAAGCACTACCTGACCCTCCTGAATCTTACCCTGAAGTTCCAGAATTCCATCCTTCAGGTAGGATTTCTAGCATGTGGATGGATGGCACCAAGACTAATTCCAACCCTCATGTAGTGACTTCCTCCTATGGAGGAACGCTTGCCTGCACCAGCAAACATTGCTCTCTGAAGTAGTTTGGCATGTGCCAGTGCCCACTTATCACATCTGGGGTTGGGCTGAAAGATCTCAAGATGGCAAACGTGGGCTCCCCTATTGGAGCAATTGAAGGATCCATGCATTAGAGGGGTGAGCCCTAGGCAGACTCAACACTTTAGGGGAGGTACCATTTATCTATTGCAAGTCTCAGATAGTCCCAGAACTAACCAAACATACACCCAAGGCAGCTGGAAGACAACCCTCCATCTTCAGCAATGTCTGTTTGGAGCCTGCCAATGTCCACCAGGGACTTAGGAGACCCCATTTGTGAGCCCATCTTTTTCATTCTTCTCCTATCCATGTCCATTTTGAATTGGAAATTCAAAAATAGTAAATGTGCTCCCTGATGCCAAAAAAAATGTTTAAATGCTAAAGTAAGAATCGTGTTCAGCTTTTATTGCAATATGGTTAACAAATCATAACAGCAAATTCTTTGGGCTGCAAAGGAAAACCCCAGACCAAACCAAATTCATGCCCTACAGGAAGAACCACTCCCTCCCAGTGGGGTGAAGCTTGCACTGGGTGATTAAAGTTGTCCTTTTCCTCAAATGCTGGCTAAAAGGATGAGTACAGGAGTCCGTGGGTGGCTCCCAAATAAACCCCAGTGAAGGGTGGAGACAGGGTCCTCCAGAAGTGCTGGAGGTTTCTACGGGCAGCTGAAAGCCAAGGCCCTGTCGCAATGTGGGGAGACAATGAGAGGATATAAAAGTCTCCGTTCCCTAAGATCTTCCCAGGGTGCCTTGTTAGAACAGCTCAGCTCTGGGTTTGGTTGCCCAGCAGAGTGCCGATCATTATTGTACATACATTCAACATTCAAAAACCCTCCTCGCACATCACTTGCTCATCAGGGTGTGTGCTGGGTTAAGAGAGAAGAGGTTTGTCTCCGAGGGACCTTGGAGCCCCTGCAGCTTTCCTGCAACCTGAAACAGAAAGGGAGAAGGCTGGAGTGGCAAGTAGAGAGATGTCACAAAGGCAGGAATGCGGAAAGTGGTCAGGGGCTGGCAGAGGCTAGAACAGAAAGATGCTGGGCAATTGAGGCTCCAGGAAGGTGAATCAGCCCCAGGTTCCTTGCCAAGGGGCACAATTCTCCCTAGCAGTAAATCATCTCTCCCCTAAATGGCTGGTGTGTTGCCATCAACAAGCTCCCTGCCACGCTTTGGAAAAGCTCCTGAAGATTAATCTCTACCTGCTCTGCATACACAGCATTTTGTTCCAAGAGACAGCGATTTCCCTTTTCAAAGCTTGCCCTTGACAGGAGAGTGGGGGCCCAGGTACAGGGTATGAGGGGCGTGGGGGTGGGTTGTTGCTGCTGAGTTTTGTTTAGCTGTTGAACCAAGGCCTCCACCTCTGACAGCGCTGTGGTTTTGGTGGAGAATGGCAAAGACCGGCCTCCCCAGAGGAAGCTCCCACAACCTCTGCTTTCCCACCCCATTCCTGCTCCGAAGCAGATGGCCAATGCCACTTCCGGGGCTCCTGGATCCTCTAGGCCGAGTTCTTTGTGGTGCCCTCTCCTTTCCCCCTCTGCAGTCGGGAAGAGGGTTGGCAGGTGGGACGCTGGAGGAGTCCCGAAGGGCCCCCACCCCACCCCCATGGCGTCCTGCAGCCAGCAGCCCGAGGGCGACCCCTTATCTGGTGAGGGGCACCTCCTCTCTCTGGTCCAATGACACGGAGGAGGCCTTGCTGAGCACGGAGGGGGCGAACGTGAGGAAGGAGTCCGAGCGGGAGGTGGAGGCACAAGTGAAGTCCGAGGCTGCAGCGGCCCGAGGTGCCAGCCCATTGGCCGGGCTGCTGTGGCAGGCAAGGCAGGAGCAGGGGCCGCCGGCCGAGGCGCCCAGTCCGTGCGCCGGGCCGGGGTAGAGCGGTGGGTGGCGGAAGGCGCACAGCAGTTCGGGTCGCGGGTAGGGCTGCGACAGCACGCGGAACGTGTCAAGCGGACGCAGCGGGCCGCTGAAGGGCGAAGCGGCAGCCGAGGCCGCGGACGCTGCACCCAGACCCACGGGCGAGTAGTAGGGCAGGGGCAGGTGCGACGGGAAGGGATAGGGCAGGCCGCCCGCGGCCGCCGCGTGGCTCATCATGTACGTGTAGAAGGCGGGGTCGGCCGGGTGCGGCCACGTCATGGCGAGCCGCTGACGCTTGTCCTTCATGCGTCGGTTCTGAAACCACACCTGGGGAGACAGGAGGGGGGCGGTTGGATGACTGCAAGAGGCCCAGACCCAACTCGGGATGAGCGTGGGGAAGCAATACCCAGAGGGCGGGGAAGAGCCAAAGCCAACTCCACCTGAACAAGAGCAGGCGACCCACAACCATCCCAGATTGACACCATCGGAAGAATTAGGGACCCGCTCGCCTTGCCCACTGCGAGTGAAGGTGCAAATAGCTGGACCTGCCTCGATTGGTCTAAGGAGGTAAAAGGCATTTCCCCCAGATTTATGTCCCATTTCCTCCCTGTCCTTTGAGACACTTCCTCTAAGTCACCTGCCTCGGGAGTCTATTTGCCTAGGAAAAGGACAGAGTCACCTCGTGGCAGCAGAGGCTGCCTAGGGACTGTCGAAGGGCAATTCTGCACGTCCCGGATTGGAAAATCCAGGTCTAGACTCCCCAACTGCAGTTCAGAAGATAAGTGACTGGCATTTCCTTCCTACTAACCCTGTTTTATACCCGCCTCGAGCGTCCTAGATCAGCATACCTTGATGGTAGTTTCAGGAAGGTTTAGGGCTGCTGCCAACTCGCATCTTCTCGGCCTTGATACGTAGTTCTCTCTGTAGAACTCTTTCTCCAGCCGCGCAATCTGCTCCCGGGTGAAGGCAGTGCGGTATCGGCGCATCTGGTCACTGGCGCTGCAGGCCAGGGTGCCTTGTGAGCCGCTACTGCCGCTGCCACCGCTGCTTTTGGGCACCTCGCTGCCACTGTTGGGACTGCCGCCCAGCGCATCAGAGCCCGACCCTGCACAGGAGCCCAGAGCACACAGGTGCATACACAGAGACACAAACAGTGCTGACTTCAGGCGGAAGGAGAGACATTAGGAGAACCCTTCAACCACCTCAAGTCACTGGTTGTGTGTGGGGAGGGGTGCTCTGGAAGCATCAGCAGAAGGCCTTAAATGATTGGAATAGAGGGTTTGGGGCAACTTTAAAGTGGCTGTTCGGAAGACCTGGACCTGAGGCATGCTGGGTCTAACTAACCGCTTCCAATCTGCTTTCCCTTCCTCTTGCCCCTGGGTACAGCAGAAGGCAGAATCCCTGAGCTCTCTGCTCCGGTTGGCAGAGATGGCCAAGGATGGTGCTGGAACACTATGAACTCTTGAGGTTGGTTAGTATATTGTAGATTGTTGGGCATGCAGTGAACGCTCTTGCTCTTGGGTGTGTGCCAGAATTCCTGTACAGGTGTGAGAATGTGTTGGGTTGCATACATTGCAGGAAGGGTAGATTTGAGCATAGGTTGTGAGGACAGGGTACAGTAGAGAATCTAGGTTAGGCCGGTGACGTGATGGTCGGGGAAGGAGGTGGGTAGTCAACAAGGCAGTGTTGGCTGCCTTGGCCTAGAAGTAGGTGCAAGCCTTTCCCACCCATTCCCATGGCTTTGTGGAGGTGTGTCTGCTGATGGGCTCCTGTTCCCAGCGTTTCATTCCTAGGAGTAGATATTTTTGGTGTAGAGAGAGGCTCCCTTCTGAGCTATCCACCCCCACTCCCATTAGCCCCTGGTGAGAAGGTTTCTGTAGTTAAAGTATCAACCCCTTAGACCCACCCCAGAGAAGGGTGGGGCTCTAGCCCCCTGCAGCTGCTTTTCCTCTGGGTGGAGAAGTGAGACTGAAGGAAAGGGGGAGGGGAGGGCCCAATCCCCGCCTTTTCAAATGCAACCGGAGACCAAAGGCAATTAGACCATTGGGACCATTTCCGACCTGGCGCCGCCAGCCCGGGAAGTGACAAGGTAATTTGGACCTCTGACCGACGTGCAAACTGGTCGGAGGGCTGCAACACTCTGGAGACCAGAGTCCGCCACGATTTTACGGTCCTTTATATACTCTTGGCTTCCGCGCCTCCATGCGCCTTCCACCCCTCCAGTCACAAACTGCCCAGACTAGCGTTTGATCTTGCCTTGCCCGATGCAAGGTGTCTTCCCAGCTCAGCAAAAATCATTCCCACAAAAGCTGGGCTGGGGGAGATTGGGGTGCATTTTGGATCCCTCAAGCCCAAGACTTGTGTCAACCACCCTAATATTCCTGAGAGCTGACACTCTGAGTCCAGCCAATACGATAACACAAGAGACCCCACACACACCAAGGTGCAGAAAGCATAAGAGTTGTTCAGGTGTCCCTCCCCCCGACCCCACCCCAGCCATCCTGCCCCAAGGGAAAGGGGTATCTTCCACCTGCCCTGAGATGAAGTAAAGTGTGGGCGCAGTGCGTGGACCGGGGAGCGGAGGGGCAAGGTGGCTACCTTTGCTGTGCTGGTACTCGGCGTTCCCGGTGGCGCAGTCCGGGGTGCAGCTCACCTCGATTTCTTCATAGAAATCCGATTCGGTGTCTGAGCTACTGGGTTGCCCTTGGCCAGAAAGGCTGTCCGCGGAGGAGACTGGGGGTCCCGGGCCAAGCACGGCGGCTCCGGCAGACCGTGGCTCGGCGCCCAGCCCTGCAGCACTGCCTGCTAGTCCATCTACCGGTTCCTCCTCCGGGCCTCCCCCGCCACGCTCCCGGGCAGACGGAGGACCGGCTCGCGGGCTCAGGCAACCGTGGGGCACCATCTTCTCTGGCGGTTCAGGCAGTGGGCTGCTCACGGCTTCGGACAAATTAGAGACCCTTTTACCAACCAGAGTGCCAAGCTGACCCCCATCCAGAAACATAACCATGTCCTTTCGGCTCTCCATCCCCGGGCTCTCCGGAGAGGGGAGGGGGAAGGCCCCCAAGTAAGCTCCTAACCCCAGGCTCCCTAGGATCTTGGCTGAGAAAAGGAGCTAAGGAGGCCAGGAGACTAGGCGGGCGCCAAGTAGCCCCAGCGCCTTGTCTACGGCGACCGCTGAGATGGCAGTGGGGAGCTAGGGTCACCTTGTGATGCGAGCGCTCCTCTGTGCCGCACCGCCTCTGGGAGGAAGCCCCATTGCCCTCTTCTTTCTAAGCTGTCATCCTCCTGCTGCAATCGTCATTACAGTACCGCTGGTGACGCCACTCGGCGAACGCAAGTGGATAAATAGAAACGTCTGCCACAGCGAAGATGAAAGGAGACCCGCAGCTAATGGCTCGGCAGTGATGCGCCAGGTGTGGGCCTCGCTCGAATGGGGAGGAGAGTGTGAAAACAGAGAGACACACACACTGAGAAAGGGAGACACCCAGGCAGAGAGGATGCAAATGGAATTCCGCAGACAGAAAAGGGAGCGCTTAAGGCGCGCAGCGAGTTCCACAGGGGCAGCGGGACTCGGTAATTGAGAAGGCTTTTGAAATTTTATTGTTGTTTTGACTTCTATTTTCTTAACTTGGTGTTTCGATCTAATACTAATGGAAACATTCGTGGCTGCTTTTTAGACGCTGCTTACAAACCCGGGTTCTCTGAGTGTTAATGCAATCGCCTGTCCTTCACGCCGGCTTGAAAATTTTTTACAAGCTACTGAAAAACGTAACCCCCCTCCAGTTGTCTGGAGAGTTTGCGGTACTTTCCTCCCTCGTCTCCCCAACCCCACCTGTTTCTTTTCTGAGAACTAAAGTTTATTTTTCTTCCCCAAGAACCAAGAGATAATCTTCTTTCCCCTCTTTGAAAACTGGTCCTGGATGCTGACTCGGTATTCCAGGATTTAAGAAGAAGAAAATCTCCCCCCACCCAGACAATCTGGTTTAAATTCGAAGTGTTCGATGATTCGTTGTTTTTGTTGTTAATTTTCTCTCCCTAGTTAGATGGCCTGCCTTGATTTGGGGTTGGCCATTCACAGAAGAAAACATCTTTTGGTTCCTCCAGTGTCCAGGCTATTTCAGGTATGTCGGGTGGGGAAAGGGTCTAAATGGTTTTTCTTTTTCTACCGTGTGTTTTAAATATTTGTTCAGAGACAACGAATTCTGCCACAAATGGCTTTGTTCTAAAGGAAGAGGTGCTGACAACCAGGAACCCTACTCTGGTGGCCCTGAAGGATATCAGGTAGGAGAAGGTGCTGGCCTTTCCTGGTGGTGTTAGGGCAGTTGTGCGTAGAATGGAGAGTGTGACAAACGGCGTCAGTAGGGTTTGAACTTGTAGGGGTCCTCTCCAGGCCTCTGCCCAGAAGAGATTTTCTATGTCCAAAACTTGAGGATAGAAGAGAAAGTCGTTGAGATGTCCTGAAAAACCAGGTGATCGGAGACTGGGGTATTCTTTGAAGAGGGGAGGTAAACTCCCAGGGTCTGGGGCTGTGGAATTCTGGGACTTGCTGTTTAGGAGAAGGAATAGACTCTCCTTGGAAGCCTGACAGGTGGAATGGGTCTTTTTTAATCTTTGAGCATGGAAGGTGAGCACCTTCTAGGTTGAGCTCCCCTCTCTCTGGCCCCTCCACAGCAGTTTCCCCCAGCTAGCAGCGGCCTGCCCACCCAGCTGAAAAGAGTTCCTCCTCTCAGCCACTAGGCAAAGCCCGGGCTTCTAGGAAAGTTCCTACAACTTCTCTCTGTCAGCTGTGTCTTCCCTTTTTCTCAGTTTTCTCACCACCTTTCCTTCCCTCAATCTTTCTCATTTGGGATTAGGAAATGATGAAGGAAGTAAGAGGTTGGGGCTGGGGGATAGACGGTTTGTTCCCCCCCCACACTCCTGCTCCCCCCTTCTGTTATGATGCGGCAAATATTTCTTATCCTTGCCTGGGGGACAAGGGCAGAGGACCATGGAGGGCATGTCCACCCCCTATGAGTCCCAAAGCCACCATCTACTGAGCACTGCTAGCCCAGAAATCTAGAGAAATATTTCAGAGGTCAAGAGTAGTGATGGGGGGGGGGTGATAGTGGGGCCTTCTGCCATGAGGAACTATCTACCAATTCTGGCTTGTCCCGCCTTCCTCACTGCAGCCAGAGCCTGTGTGCGCCAGCACCTTGCTTGCTCTCTCTGCTGTCTGAGTCTGTCTCAGGACTATGCAGCGGCTGCTGCTGCTGCAGCACCAAAATCTTCCAATGCTGCCTCTGTGTGACACCCACTCTCCCTGCCCACCCCCCCACGAACAAACCACCTTCTCACGGCCACCTCCCTGTCCTCCCCCTCCTAGGGAGGTTGGTCCCTAGAGTGACTCTGGGCTTCCCTGCCCCGCCCCCAGCTTTGCATTCAATGGGAATGTTCGATGTTTGATCCCTTTTTTACTCAGCATTTTCCCTGGAGATGAAAGCAGAGCAGGGTTGTGAGATCAAGGGGTGCCACTTAGTCTCCTTCCTGGGTCAGTCTTTTGGAGCAAGGCTTCCCCTTGCATCCCCAGGAGGGGGGCTCAGACTCTCAGAAGGCGGCAGCCTCCTCTAAGCTCCCGGTCTGCGCTTCACGGACAGCCCTCCTCCGCCCACCCCCACCTCCATTCCTCTCCAGACTTCAGGCCACCTTTTAAAAAAGCAGCCTCCGTTTGTTTAGTTTTTAGGTCCCTACTGATTATCGCCCCCCCACGCCCACCCCAGTGCTTTCAGGAAAGATATCCAACTAAATATCACTTCTAAAATAAGCAGTTGGCCGACGTCAAATGAAGAGAGGTGAGATTTTTTTTTTTCAACGACAGTTTAAAAGAGGGTGCTGGAGTAGGGCACGGTTTCGGGTTTGTTTTGTGTTAGGGCACGGTTTCGGGTTTGTTTTGTGTTAGGTTTTTGTCTTTGTTTTCCCCTGCGTGGGAAGTGTGCTAAATTTAATCGTCACTGTCGTTGTATCATGAAGATTGTTTAGTGCACAGAAGGAGGAAAATTCTGATAGCGAGAGAAGCAGAATAACCCCTCGAAAACGAAGAGGGGGCAACAACAGTCTAAAATGAGTCTAGCCCAGGAGCATCCCTCTCCCCTGCCGATTTGCCGTCCTTCCCCCCCCACCACACACACACACACAAACATACACACACACACACACACACACACACACACACACACCCCGCTGGGGCGACAGGCTCGGATGCCGCCAGCTCCTTGCCAATTGAAATTCTCTGAACTTCAAAAGCTGCAAGCTTGGCTTCCGCCTTGGCTAGGAGTGGTAGAGGGTGGATGGGAATCCTGGAGAGCCGACGGGAGATAAGTCGCGCCGGTCGTTTCCAATGGAATCTGAAGCACTGTTTCTGCTACTAGACGCGTGGACCCTGGGAAACAGCTTCGCTTCGCTTCTTCGCGGCTGTTGTGGGGGCTGCTTGGGTGATCCGAGACCCACCAGGCACGGTCGACAGCGGTCCTGAGCCATCCCCAGCACCTTCGAAGCCTGAATCGCGGAGTTTGCACCTGGTGAAAGGCAAGGGGTGAAAGTCCGGCGACCTGGTACTGGAGCAAGAGCCGCTGCTTCCTGCCGGTGGGTGGGTGGGGGGTGTTATCAGAGAAAAAGAAAAAAAATTAACTTTTCTTTGGTCAAACGTAAGAACAAAGAGAGCATCCTTTTTAACTAGAAAGAGTCTCCCAGTTGTAGATACTGTCCTCTGGTTCTCGGTGGCCTTCCAAGCTGTGTTGGGGCTATTCCCTGGAAGTTTCTGTGAGGCTTGATCTCTGCAGCTAGAAGGGCCGGCAGTGGGAGTGTCTATCAGCTGTCCAGGCCTCTTTTGGAGTCCAGAGTCACTGAGTGGTGCCTCTTGGGGGGAACATTACCCCCACCCCTCGCTGGAAGAACAAGATTCACTGGAAATCAGACTACAGGTGTTCGGCTTTCCAGGAGTCCAGAAATCAAAACTGAACGGATTACCTACTCCTCTTCCTCCCTGGGTGTAGGCTGGGGGTGCGGGTGAGATGAGGAGAGGTCTGCTAAGGACAGCCGCGGTGGGCAGCACAGAACCGGTTCATCTTCAGAAGGTTGATCTGGAGGCTTCTGAAGTCCGGTTTGAACAAATGCTCTCTGCCTCTGGGCCTTCTGATGTATAGGGGGTCACAGGTATCAGTGACAAGGAACTGGGTGCTTCCTGCCCCCCAATGCTTGATGCTTTTCAGAACCCCCAAAGGCATCCAGTTCTGCCTTTTCTTCCTCTGTTCCTTGCCCTCCTCATCTTCCAAAAACCAGAGTCTAGTGGCTTCCTGTTCCTGTTCTGCTGCCCTCTGCCCAGAGGTCCATATCCCCACTCACTATGAGTACCCACAGCAGTCTAGAGCAAAGTCAACAGAAAGGATTGACACCCGAGGCCCTTCCTAAGATGATGCAAACCCCCTCCCTTCAGACAAGGCCTGGATGGAGCCCGTGCAGTTTCTTCTCCCCTGCATACAAAGGCCAAGATAGCTCCTTGGCTTGCTCTAACAGAAGTGGCATGGTCTCTTAGATCATTGCTGTTCTGAAACTTGCTCCTTTTTTTGGGGGGGGGGTCAAGACAGGGTTTCTCTTTGTAGCCCTAGTTGTCCTGGAACTCACTCTGTAGATCAGGCTAGCCTCGAACTCGCAGAGATCCACTTGCCTTTGCCTTCTGAGTGCTTGCTGAGATTAGAGATGTGTGCTGCCACCGCCTGTTGAGAGCTGCTGTTATTACAAAGCTAGTTGACATTCATGTCTCTTCATCTACGAAGAGTTCATCAAAGGTCTCTGGTGGGCTGCAGTGCCTTTTCTCCCTCAGATGTTAGGGTGCTAACAATTAGCCAGGGCACAGTGATTGTCAGGCCTAGGCTCCTCATAAGGTCTTCTTGTCTTCTTGCCTGTCTTTGAGGAATCCCTCAACAATGACTTCTCTTTACCCTATTGAGGTAATACTACACAGCCTTTTTGATTGTTTGTTTGTTTGTTTGTTTTGGAGACAGTATTTCTCTCTGTAACAATCTTAGCTGTCTGGAACTCACTTTGTAGACCAGGCTGGCCTCAAACTTACAGAGATTCACCTGCCTCTGTGTCTGCCTCCTGAGTGCTGGTATTAAAGGGGTGCACCACCACCATCTGGCCCCTACAGCCTTTCTATAATCTAGTCAGGTCTGGGTCCTCAGCACGTCTTTCCCAGTCTCAAGAGCTCCTCCTTGGAGAAAATGATCCAGAGTCACACTGATGCCACCCCTCCCCATTATTACATTTCTTCCCAGGAGGACAAAGAGTCCCATGGTAAGATCAGCCACTTTTCTGTTTTCTGTGGGTTTATGTTTTCCAGCCTCT